CCCCCCCCCGGACCCCTCCCCAAACCAACCCCCTTTGGGACCCCCCTTTGTGTACCTCTCTGGCATCCCCAGACCCCCTCAGGATGCCCCCCAACCGGCAGCCCCTCGTCCCCCCTGCCCCCACCACGTTGTTGCGGGGCGCCATGTCGCAGAGATGCTCGGCCAGCAGCCTGCAGGCCTCCTCCACTCCCCAGTGCGCAGCCGCGTGCAGCGGGGTCCACCCGTCCTTGTCCCTCACATCGGGGTCGTAGCCTGCCTGCAACAGCAGCCTGTGGGGTTGGGGTGGGGTTTGAGGGGAGAAACAGTGGGACCTCCCCCCCCCAGAGCCTCCCAAACCCCATAAGAACCCTCGGACAACGCTGAGGTTCTCCAGGGCAATCCCCACAGAGATCCCGAAAGGAAATCTCCCGAGGATCCCTTGGGATCACCCGGAGTCCCATGGGATCCCAAATCCTTCCTACGATCTCATAGAGAAGCCTGGAGAGCAAAGCACCCCCAACCCCAAATATTCTCTGGGACCCCAGGAACCCCTTGGGGTCGCCCACTGCTCCCCAGGCACACCCAGACCCCCGCAGACCCTTTTAACAACACCTGTGAGCCCCCAGGGTGCTCCCAGAACCCCATCAGCCACCTCCGGAGACCCCTGAGACCTCCAAAACACCTTCAGACCCCCATCCCCACCTCATGACCTCGATGTAGCCCTTGGCCGCTGCCACATGCAGGGCACTGGCCCCCGTGGCCGGGTGCCGGGCGTCCCGGATCTCCCCAGCATCCAACCAGCGCCGGGTGTCGCGCAGCATCCGCTCCTCCTCCGCCCGTTTGGCCGCCGCCACATCCACCCCTGGGCGGGTGAACGAACGGTGGGGTGTGGGCAGGTGCGTCCCCCCACGGCCCCCCACGCCCCCCTCCCACCCCACTCATACCCACCTCTGCGTTCCACCTCCTCCCTCAGCAGCTCCTCCAGCCCTTCATCCTCAGCCACCTCCAAGGGCAGCTCTCCATCGCTCGTCACCGCTGCCACGTCGGCCCCGTGGGCCAGGAGATACCTGGGGGCCAGGGGAGAAGCGTGAGACCCTCGGGGACCCCCAGACCCCCCCATATCGTGAGCCCCCCTCGTAGCAGAAATGCTGAGTCACGGCCTGAAGCAGTGACGGAGCTCCTGGTGGAAGGCAGGGCCAGCCCAGGGGAGCTGAGGTGCAGTGCAAGGCCCCGAAGCGACAGGAAGGGATGGAGCCACAATCCGCCCCTTCGCACCCTCACTGGAAGGTCGGCAGCGGAGGCTGGGGCATCTCGCCGCAGATCCCTGCCCTTCTGAAGACAAGCAGCTTTTTCCCTGTGTCTGCATCCACAGCTGCTGCACTCAAGCCGATCCTCACTGCTGCGGCCTGGGACTCTGCCGCCCCACTGCCAAGGCTGCTTCACACCCCCAAACCTAAAGACCACCCCCAGCATCCGGTGATGTCAAAACCCCCCCGGAACCCCAGCACCCAATGACCTCAAAACC